TTGAGTGAATAAAAAAGGAAAAGAGGAAAACAAAAACTCCATTTACACCAAACTCAGGTTCTTGGTTAATAATAATAATAATAATTTTATCCTGGAGTTTTCTGCACTTAAACTGTATGTTTGAAACACATTGTTCAATCTTAGCCCTTTCTCACATTTATAACGCAAAATGTTCAATAGAAGGCAAGTCTACTAATTAGATAGAAGGCTGAGATCAAGGAACTCTAATTTTATAATTCCCTGTTAGACTGACTCTTGTGGCCTTAAGCAAATTATTTGTGGTTCTATCAATGTCATTGGCTTTGAGCTCTGAAGGAAAAAGTGCTGTTATTATTTGAGCACTGTATTATTAGAGATGCGTGCACATGGTGTACTGGGAAGGTTTCTGAACAAGAGAGTGACATGATGAAAGTGGAGTTTTATTTATTGCATTATTCGTAGTAACTGGGGGCCTCAGCAAATACATGTTGAATGAATAAATGACCACTTGGACTTCATAACCATCCTGAAATAATGCTGTTATTTAAATTTAGCAAATACTGGAATATATCAAATATCTTAGCAATAATTTTTAGTTCCTAACTATAATGTAAAGAAAAAATAAGGAATATAGTTCAGTAACATTTGATATTTTAAACTTTGTTGGTTTATAGTATATTAAATAGTTGACATAAATAGATTGGGTAGGCTAAAAACAACAGACACTCTCTCTTTTTGAATGTTTACCTTATATTCCATATTTTATACCATGCTGATATTTGTCTTTTATGAATATATTGCTATTTGTTTCAGGGAAGATTTTGGTTTTTTCTGTGCCTGAATTTTTAGACAGTTGTAATTACCCATGTCTTCATTCTGAAAATTAATTTTAAGAATGAAAACATGGATAATTACATTTGCATTTTCAAATCAGTTTTTAAAATATGAATGTCCTCCCCCAAAAAATTAACCTGTTGATAAGTAATTAATTTGAATTATTTGGTTTTCTGCCTGAATCAGCATAGGAAAAGAAAATGGCATATGTCTAGATAGATCTCAGCCTTCTGAAACTGCTACAAAAACAATTGTAGGCCCTGGTTGCTGGGCAATGGACAACACAGCAAACTGAGCTCCCTTCACTTTTACATGATTTATCTAGATTAATGATGTAGGCCATCATAAAAAAACGAGGTATTTGCTATATAAATGGGATAGCTAATGCAGCTCAGGAAATTTTAAGATTTTGCATGGTGTTTATATATGCTTTCAAAGCTTTTAACCTTGGAAGACATAGAGATTGTTTGGAAACCAAAATCAAAGTCAGATTAAAAGGATTTGCTATAAGCTCCTTCCTTATATAATAATGAACCATCTTAGAAAACTGCCATTTGATTTTTCTTCTCATGTGAATTATTCCCTAATGGTTGTAGTAAAGTTATCAAGTCATATTATGGTGGTCATATCAGTTTTCAGGATTTTTTTATTTGTGACTGCTTTGTTCTACAAATTTTGCCAGAAATCAGATTGAAAGGAAATCTTCTGAACCTAAAAAGTAAAATGTTCGTATATATCCAATTCTCCTTAATACATATGTATTATATTGCCACTTTCAAATAATCTATTTTAAATTATTACAAAAGATTTCCAAAATGATGATAAGTAATACCTGTTCTACCTACCATACAAAGTTGTGAAAAATTAAATGGGATAGTGTAGGCAAAGCTCCATGTAAGTGGGAGCTACTACTGTTCTTGCTAACGTACCCGCTATCAAGTACAATGGTTCTCTCATACTGTTACGTAACATCAATTTCTCCAAGCTCACCATGATCTCTGAAAGGATTGTTTCTCCAGTAAATAAACTAGTAATAAGCATAGGCATTAGCCAGATGCATGTTGTGGGTAAGGAAGGGCTGATACTAAAATCCTACACAAACACAAAGAATTATGGTGAAAAGAATAGTGAATGTTAGTATTTACCTGGTGAGAATTAGGCTACATACCTAAAAACAGTTTATTAAACTCTTTCTTCCTTTGATTTCTGTTTCTTTCATATTTGGTTTTCCATGCAATCTGTGTTGAATGAGGCCATTCACCATGAGCTGCCTCTTCCTCCCTCTGCCTTGTCTCATGTCACTTCTGCCACTTTCTCTTCCTCCACCCCTGTCTCATGTAATAAAGTGGCCTTACTCCTTACCAAGGCTAACCTCTCTACCTAGTCAGGCCATCCCAATGTCTTTCCTCCTAAACCCTCCTCAATTTCTATCTTCACCATTACTTTAGAATCTGTCTCTCAGGCTCACAACCCAGGAGTCATCCTGCATTCCTCACTGTCTCTTACCCCCCCTCATCTAAGCTGCTGCCAAGGCCTGTGGATTTCACCTTTGCATCATCTTTCAGATATACCCCTGCGTCTCCTCTGACACTGACACCACTCTAGTACAGTCCCTTATTACGTCAACTTTGGACTACAGTAATAGTCTGCTGATAGGTCTGCCTGCCTCAAGTCTCTGCCCACTCCAGTTCATCCTCTTTTCTGCTGTCAAAGTGATTTTTCTAAAGTACCAGTCTAATCATGTCACACACACACACACACACACACACACACACACACACACACACACCCCCTACTCAACTAACTGCAGTGTTTTCCTGTTGTCTGCAGGAATAAATATTAAAGTCCTCTGCCTGGAATTCAAAGCCCTCATAACCTAGCCCCCTCCTACCTTTTCTGGTCTTCTTAAACCTTACTCCCTTCCATGTACCCTTTGATCCAGTGATGCTGACCTCCTGTCCTCCACCAACATATCCCCTGGGTCTGGGCATTTTTTCTGTCCATCCCCCATGCTTCAAATGTTCTCCCTTTGCCTACTGGCTTCCCTGGCTTCCTTTAAGTCACAGCTGAAATCCCAGCTTTTAAAGGAAGTCTTTCCCAATCCCTATTAATTCTGGTGCCTTCCCTCTGTTAATTATTTTCTATTTATTCTTTATATAGCTTGTTTTTTAAATACATTTGTTTGCTTATTATATCCCCCATTAGATTGTAAGCTCCTTCAGAGCAAAGACTGTATTTTACATCTTTTTGTATCCCCTGGGCTTAGCACAGTGCCTGGAACATATTAGGTACTTAATAAATATTGATTGATTGATTGTTGGTAGTAAAGCTTATCTAAGGACAACTGGATCACTTGTTCAGTATAGTGGCTATCTGTGTGTGTGTGTGTGTGTGTGTGTGTGTGTGTATGTATACTGCATATTATGTATTCCCTGTATATGTAGCATATGTATGTATGCATACATACAGTATATATGTTCATTTTATGCATATATGTATATGTGTACATACACAGATACCAGTGCTTTCTTTGGTTATATCTATACAATTCACCTATATAGACTGCATTGTCCTTCTATAAAACCATTATCCCAAAAGTATGAATTTTACAATTGTTCTAATGTCAAAATGATATTTTTCCTCACTTTGGTCCAGTGCTTTAACACTTGCTAACTTTTTTGTGATATGTTCTATCTTAGGGCTATTTCACAGTAGACATATATATATATATATATTTAGTTTTCAAAATTCATTTCCATAAGATTTTGAGTTCTAAATTTTCTCCCCATCTCTCCCCTCCCCCCAACTCCAAGATGTGTAATTTGATATAGGCTCTATATAAACATTTATATTGAACCTATTTTCACATTAATTGTATTGTAAAGAATTAGAACCTATGGGAGAAACCATGAGAAAGAAGAAGCAAACAGAAAAAAAGACAGAGCAAATAATATACTTCAATCTGCATTCAGACTCCTTGGTTCTTTTTCTGAATGTGGACAGCATTTTCCATCAAGAGTCCTTTGGAGTTGTCTTGAATCCTTGCATTGCTAAAGAGATAAGTCTATCAAAATTAGTCATCACACATTGTGGCTGTTACTGTGTCCAGTGTTCTCCTGGTTTTGCTCGCTTTACTCAGCATCAGTTCATTCAAGTCTTTCTAGGTTTTTCTGAAGTCTGCCTGCTCGTTGTTTCTTATGGGGCAATAGTATTCCATTATATTCATATACCACGACTTGTTCAGCCTTTCCCTAAATGATGGATGTTCCCTAAATTTCCATTCTTTGTCACCACAAAAAGAACTGCTGTAAATATTTTTGTACATGGGGGTCCTTTTCCCATTTGTATGAACTCTTTGGGATATAGACCTGGAATTGGTATTGCTAGGTCAAAGGGTATGCACATTTTTATAGCACTTTGGGCATAGTTCCAAATTACTCTCTAGAATGGTTGGATTAGTTCACAACTCCACCAACAATGCATTAGTGTTCCAATTTTCCTGCATCTTCTCCAGCATTTATAATTTTCCTGTTTACAGTAGACTTTTTAAAAATGTTTTTATGGCATGAACCATGTGTTCACTAAACTTTCATAGCCAATTTTCCTTATTGGTGGGTTAGAATTATTGATAGTAACAAACTTGCAGTATTTTCATTGGCTTGTACATTAATGCTCTTTTAAAATTGATTTTTGGGAGTCTGCTAATCCAGATTTCTTTATTAATATTCTCATTCAATTACCATATTTAAGGACTATCCAAGTTAGTTACAGAGCCTGTTACAAATACTATTAAAGTACTGAATGTGAATAAAGACTACACTTTCAATTAAAAATAGATTGAAATTATAAGCCTTTTCTTAAATGTGCACAGTAAATCCTTTATTTGAATGTGTTAGTGTGATCTCTCTTTTAGCCATTGCAGTATATATTTCTGTAAAATACTATATTTATTCATCTTTATCTTTCTTGCCACCTCTGCTGTTCATCTTTACAGAAAAATCAAGAACTAAATCATATAGTTATACAAGTACAATATCTTTCCTTCTTTAAAATAACAGCCATGGCTCCCTTCACAGGTTCCTCTGGGATTTTGAGAATATATCTGTTTTATAGCTAGATCAGAGTGATCTAGCCAAAAAAACAAAACAAAACAAACAAACAAAAAAAAACACCCTTCTTGCTTAAAACAAGTTTCTTTCACTGAAATTTATTTCTTACTTTAAAGAATGTCTTTTGCACAAAGTTGAATGCTCTATTGAATTTATCACAGTAGAGAAAGGGTTAAATTCCTCAATCTCTTGACCATCAACCTAGGATCTCTGGTTGCTGAGAAACATGCCGGGCTTCACATAGGACAGTCTGGAAAGAGATCAAAATAATGAGAGATATGGCAGGTGAGGATATTCCAAGATATGGAGGAGCTTGGACAAAGTAAGAGAATCTTCCATGACATCATTGCCAGGTCTAAGATACTATGATCTCTATACTTAGTTTCACCATGTCACTCTTCCCATTAAGAACCTAATGGCTTAGACCAAACTTCTCAACTGTGACTGGCCCACCATAATCTGGTTCCACCCCATATACCCAGCTTATTTCCCACTTCTTGGAATGTCAGATTTAGAAGAGGCGTCAATAGCCCCCGATTCCACCCATACCAGAAAAAATAATACCATCTACCCAGTCAGCCGGCTTGTACATAAAGACGTCCGGGGAAAGGGAACCACTGCCCTCTAACACAGCCCATGCTACTTGGGGATGCTTCTGACTCGTAGAAGGCTTTTCCTTAATTCAAGCCTCAGTCTGCCTCTTTGCAGTGTTCACCCGTCTGTTGTTCCTACTTCTCGTTGTTGGGGCCAAGCATGATGTCTTTCGATGAGACAGCCCTTACAGTATTAGAAGACAATTATCATGTTCCTACTAAGTATCCTCTTCTCCAAATTAAACATTCCCCATGACCTGGCACTCGTGTGACATGAGCCCAAGTCCCCCTCATCTGAGTGAGCTTGAACACTGACATCAAAAAACTAAATTCTAGTTATAATTCCAGGATAGCATAGATCAAGACTGTCATATCTCTAATTCTGAGAACTATGTTTTTCTTAATTCAGCAAAAGATTTCACTGGCTTTTTCAATCACCCTATCTAGGCAATACAAACACTATTTCTGAACAACATTAGCTATCCCATTTATATGACAAATAGATTTTGGGGACTTAATAAGAAATTTTAAAATATTCATTCATAGATTGATTCAGATCAATATCTAGTACTGAAGAAATCTACCAAAGCAGTGCCAGCAGGATAAGAGATGTCAAATTTTCCTATCCACCCTTCTCCATTTTAGAGTGAAAATAATTAGAGAGAGAGAAGGGAGTAACTTTATACATATATGTATATATGTTTGTATCTCTGTGTGTGTGTGTGTGTATACATCTTATATAAAAGCCAAGCTTTCCTGCCTAGAGAATCAGTAAGTTTTTAATAAGCTGGTGAATTTGCCCCCAGGCTATCTGAATTGTGGTTACTTATTTAACCTCCAAATTGCCAAAAAATTGCCAGATCCCTGTTGGATATTCTGTCATGCAGACCTAGTGATTTAATTGGAAAAGGATCTCCATTGCCTTCCCAAGTTTTTCAGTAGCATTTCTATGCACTGTTCAATCGTTGGCACATTTTACCCTGGAGAGTAGATTTTTTTGGCATCCTGGGGAATTTTGATATATTTAACAAGGTGAGAAGTACACATTGGCATCATTTAAGTGACATAAGTTTAAGCCCAAATTGGCTTTTACATGCCAAAGATGTGAAATGTGCCAACTGTTTAATAGTGCACAATAACTATTCAACTACATATGTTGATGATTTCAGCAGAACAGTTTAGTTTCTTATTGTTTTTTTTTAACATCTGAATCACTTAGATAAAATTATGCCTTGTGATGTCTTAATAATAGAGAGAGGTGGTCCATGACTTTTGCATAAGCAGATTATGAGTAACGTTGAAATGTTAGTCATGCTACAGTGGTGTGCAGTTGTATATTGTGAAGAACAGAACAAGAATATTGCTCTCATTTAATATACCTATTCTGCCACTTTCTTAGGTCTTTAACATTTTTTATTCTATAAAATTTGGTGTGCCAACATGTCTGAAGTAGAAGTTCCACAATTAGAGTTTATATAAATGCCTATGTGAATAGTGACCTTTTTCACTTTTTTTCTAAAACAAAATTGGATTTTGAGTTAAGAAAACATGTTACAGGTGTTACAAATGTCTATTTTCAAAATTCCAATTATATTTTCTGAATTTAATAGTCTTTTTCCTAGGCTGATCCAAATTAGAAAATTTAAATTACCATCTAAAATGGTATTTGGATTATCACCAAAGTTTTTCATGTAATACACAAGGGAGTGTCCTGCAACCTTGAAATTTATTTCCTTTCCACAAGTTAGCAGGTTAAAAAACAACAACAACATCATTCTGGAGCTCTTCCAGATTGCTGGTTGTACTATCTTTTTCTGACAATGGTCAGTTTCTGTAGCTGTGTTTTCCCCATATCCTCAGTTAACTATGTTGATCCTTGTTTGCACTGGAAGAGTTTTTTCCATAGCCGGCACAAACCAAGACAAAGCATTAATTTCTTTAGCGCTGACACCTCAGTGAGAAAGAATTTTGAATCATGTTGGTACCTTTTTTTCTGACATCAAAGACTCTCTTCTCTGTGCAGAATTAAAACTCTCAAAAATCGGGCCTTTCTGATAGGAAGGCGTTTTTCTAAAGGTTCTAACATCTCAGCCCCAGAGTTGTAGATCTTAACAGTGGGGAGGACTTTAGTAGTGTGGTCCAATCCTCCTGCAGGCAGATAAAGCATTATCTCTGTTTTACAGATGAGCTTCTGTGAGGCCCAGAGAAGTCACCAAAATTGCCTGTAATTACACAAGTAATATGTAGTAGATGTGTCTTACCTCCTCACATAGACTGCCAAGTTTAGACTTGATCTACAGGTAATAAGGAGCTATTTGTAGGTTCTTGAAGCGGGGGATGACATGCAAAAAGTAATCTTAAGAAATCCTCATCTGGAAGAGGCCAAACTGGGAGGCTGCTGCGATGATCGAGGTCTGAAGGGTTAAGAGCCTAGCAGGGATGAGGGCCTAGACGAGGAGGCAAAGCAACAGCAGAGACAAAGGAAGACTCAGCAGGGCTTAGTAACTGAATAGGTACAGGGGATAAAGAAGATGGCTTATACTTCGAAGTATGTCATATATTTAGATTTAATATGCATCTGCACCAGTGAGTTAATGAATCCATCAAATGATCCAATGTACATGTATATACACATTGGATCATTTGATGGAGATTATATATATATATATACATATATATATATATGTAATATGTGTATGCATGTATATACACTCTCCAGGCTCTCCCCAAAGTTCACCCCAGGAAGTCTACCCCATGTGCTTGAGGGTACCATTGGAGTACTCTAGCTGTCTTTCCATCATCCCTCACTCCTGCCACATGAGGAGCCCATCTTCCCATACCGTTCCCGGGTGACATCCTTTCTTCCTGTTCGTTGGTATTCCTTGTTGTGTAAAAATTTTTAGCCTGCTCATGAGAGAGTCACACTGGGTAAGCAGGCACCATAGGGTTGCTGTCTGCCACATCAGATGGGATCACAGAGGTCTTATTTCACATGTTATTATTCATAATAATAGTGTGAATCATTTTTTCCTCTGACCAAAATAATAGCAACTCTATCAATTTCCCAGTGGACTGGGCCTGGGGTCAGGAAAACTTGAATTCAAATCTGCTCTTAGTTACTTAATAGCTGTGTGACCTTGGATAAATTACTTAACCTCAGTTTGCCTTAGTTTCCTCAACTGTAAAATGGGTATAATAATAGCGTCTACCTCCCAGGGTTGTTGTGAGGATTAAATGAGATAATTTTTGTAAAGTACTTGGTACAGTGCCTGGCACATTGTTGTTGTTCAGTCATTTCAGTCATGTCTGACTCTCCATGACACCATTTGGGATTTTCTTGGCAAAGATACTGGAATGGTTTGCCATTTCTTTCTCCAGCTCATTTTATAGATGAGAAAACTGAGGCAAGCAGGATTAAGTGACTTGCCCAGGGTCACACAGCTAGTAAGTATCTGGGGCCAAATGTGAACTCAGGGCTTCCTGACTCCAAACCCAGCACCACCTAGCTGCCCCTGGCACATAGTAGTTGCTATATAAATGCTGGCTACTCTTATTATCATAATCATCATTTTTATTACTGCTCTTGTTATTATTAGCAGTCATCTTGAATACTAATAAAGAATCTTTAAATCACCTTAAGCATTTGATTTCAACATGCACCCCACCATTTGGATGTTTTTACAGAATTTCACGCCTATGATATAACTTAACAAAGGTGGAAAGGGAGAGGAGAGGTAATTCCCAAAATAAGAAAATAATTTCCCAGAAGGTGGCTCTGGTTATAAGGAAAAGAAAACTCAATCCCTGCTTTTGCTGAACATTGGCAGGGATGGGACTAGAGCCATTTTAGCTGCTCTATTCCTCTGAGCCTATAACTGGGTCATATTGCTTTTGTAATAGTGACAGAAGTAATTTCTTGAAGGGGAAATGTAGCCACCTGGTTGGCAGGTCCTCCATCTTCCTCCCCCTTTGTTTCTGGCTAAAATAGCACCCTCATCCCAGCACTTGGGTATCCCGATGATGGACAGCATATCAGTGCAGAGATAATGTAGGTGCTTCTTGAAAGCCTTTCATGGAAGCTATTTTGGGTTCCAATTTGGAATGGCTTTCTTTCCCAAGTGGTACATTGCTTCCTTTTGTGGGCTTCGGAGAAACTTTGTTTCCAGAAATACTGAGGCTTTGAAGAAAGCAGAAGAGTTCTCATTAATCCATGTTTTACAAAGCTGAGTTGGTCTCTTTTGGCTCAGACTCTACTCAAGGCTTCGCTCTCTGTCACAGCTTCTTTTCCCCAGGCTCCAGGGGATGCAGTAATGGTTTTTCAGAGTCCTTGAATCTGTTGCCTCTGGGCACAACATGACCTAGATGAATATGACACGTTGCCCTTGTCCAGTGTACCACAGAAAGCTCACTTCTCTTCCCACAGCAGTTTCTTCCATAAGTGGAAATGGTCTTTTAAATTTTCTGCTCTCTATCCAATACCTTTGGAGTAATCAAAGGGCCAGGAGTATATATTCTCTGATTTCTCCTTCCTAATAGAATCTCTTCCTCATATCTTGTTACTTGCAGAGCCAATTTCAGTCTCCTGCTGTGAAATGTTTAGCTTTATTTGTCATGCCTTATGTCTCTCTGCTGACAGAGAGCAATCCTAGACCCAGGTTCAGTTCTCTGAACTGGTCCTTCTTCCTACCTTTTGGCAGATCCATATATACCTACATGATTTATATAGACCCTTATTTTCAGAGCTCTCCAGAGAAGATGATTACACAACCTCCCTCCATAATTTAATACATGTAATAAGTCATAAAAAAGAATAGTCTATATAAAAGTAATATAATTTTAATACTGAAAGGGACCGTGTATATACTATGTGGGTACATATATTCACAGCAGCGTATGCATAAACATATATTGTCTATGCATATGTCTAAAAATCACGAGTCAGTGTTATATTTAATGGGAATAAACTGTACTTTTCCAATAAGATCAGCAGTGAAACAAGGATATCACCACTTCTATTTGACAAATGCTAGCTGGAAACGCTAACTAACTATAGCAGTAAGATAAGAAAAATAGAGGAAATCAGCACAGGCAAAAAAGAAACAAAAATTTGCTTTTTTCCAAGTGATAATGACGCTGTGTTTAGAGAGCCCTAGAGAGCCAACTAAAAATTATTTGATACAGTTAATAACTTCAGCAAAGATGCTGTATATAAAATTAATCCACACAAATCTTCAACCTTTTTTGTATATCAGTAAAACCCAGCAGGAAAAGGCAGAGAAATTCTGTATCAAATAACTATACAATATATAAATTATCTGGGAGTCTACCTACCAAAATATATACGAGAACTCTACAGTATAAATACACCTTCAAAACATTTTTTACAGAAATAAAAATAGACCTTTAAGTAACTGTAAAAATATTAATTGCTCATGGGTAGGCAGAGACAATATTATAAAAATGGCAGTATTACCTAAAATAACCTATCCACTTCTCTGCCAGTCAAACTACCATTTTACATTTAGTTACCCCTCAGAGGGAAAAAAAGAAAGCAACACTAAACAAATATAATGTCAATTTTAAATATGAGGCAAAATTCAGCATCCTGTTTTTACCCTTTTTTGTATCCTTGTATCACCAGAACTTAGCACAGTGCCTGGCACACAGTAAGCACTTAATAAATGCTTGTTGACTGACTGACTGATGTACTACTATTAGTTCCAGTATTAAAGGGCAGTATTGTTGGTAGCTAGGTGGCTGAATGGATAGAGCCCTGGACCTGGAGTTAGGAAGACCTGAGTTCAAATCTAGTCTCATACCCTTACTAACCATGTAACCCCTTAAGAAGTCACTTAATCTGTCAGATATAAAATAGGGATTTAATTATAGCACTTTCCATTCAGTCTTGTTGTAAGGCTCTAAGGAGTTAATCTATGTAAAACTCTTTACAAAGCTTAAAGCACTATGTAAATGCTAGCCTTGATTGCCTTTGGTGTTCAGAGCACTTTATGACCTGCCCCACCTTCCCTTCTTAGTACACCTGATGCACCGCCCTGTCCATAGACTACTCTCCCTCCTCAGGCAAGACCCTCCCAACTCTGCCTTTTCACTTCCTGCCCCCAGGGCCTGAGATGCTCCTCCTCCTCCTCCTCCTCCTCCTCCTCCTCCTCCTCCTCCTCCTCCTCCTCCTCCTCCTCCTCCTCCTCTTCTTCTTCTTCTTCTTCTTCTTCTTCTTCTTCTTCTTCTTCTTCTTCTTCTTCTTTTCTTCTTCCCCTCCTCCTTCCCCTCCTCCTCCTCTTTCTTCTTCTTCCTCCTCCTCCTCCTCATTTCCTTCTCCTGGCTTCCCTCCCCCAAATACCACCTTCTTCATGAAGCTTTTCCCTTCCCCCTTGACTCTAGGGTCTTCCCTCTAAGACTACCCCCAATTTATCCTCCATCTCTATCCTGCTTGAAGATAGTTGTTTGCATATTGTTCCCCCCCCCCATTAAACTATGAGGTCTTTGAGAGAAGAGACTGTCTTTTGCCTTTCTTTGTATCCCCAGAGCTTAGCACAGAGCCTGGTACGCAGTAAGGGCTTCATCAATGCTTTATTCATTTATTCATTGTAGTAGATAATAAATACTGACTTAACTGACTGGCTGGCTGTTGTTATATTTATGGATGCCTTTTATTTTCACATCTCTGTCTCATATCTCAAACGATTCTCTGTAACAAAAAGAAAGAGCTAACAAAACTGACTTGCAAAACGCCTGTGTCAGACGGTGTATACAGCATTCTGCTGCCCTAGACCCTTAGGGGAGTGAAATCTGCTTCATAATCTACCTGTTCTTCAGGTTAGTGATTGGTCATTGTAATCGAGTATGTCTGCCTTTCCATGCTGTGTTTATTTATATTTTTTGTCATTATGTAAGCATGCACTATGTATGTATGTATGTATGTATGTATGTATGTATGTATGCAGCTAGGTGGCGAAGTGAATGGAGCTCCAGCCTTGGAGTCAGGAGAACCTGAGTTCAAATGTGGCCTCAGACACTTGACACTTAACTAGCTGTGTGACCCTGGGCAAGTTACTTAACCCCGTTTGCCTCACCAAAAAGAAAAAAAAGGTTTAGG